CAGCCTGCTCAGGAGGCTGAGAGGTCTCAGCAGGACAGACAGGAGTCCTGCCCCACCTCTTGGCCTCAACACCACGCACCAGCATGATGGTTACAAACCCAGCCTGAGCATAGCCCACACTCGTGGCTCTTCATGGATTCAGCAGAACGTGAAGGCATGTTAGTAGAGACAACTTCTTGAACTGGGTCCCAGTTTTCACTTGCAATTCAGGATGATGAATGGCCAAAAAGCTTCAAGGAATTAAGAAGTATCAAGTAACATTTGGAGAGCAGAACATATAATATGTTAAAAAGAATAATATCTTTGCTTCCAACACCACCAGGTGCTTGTGACTGGACAGGGTGACCCACTCATCATCCTTCAGAGTTCTTCATTTCCACAATTTCACCAAATCAATAACATCTAATGGTAATGATGGCCACTAAACTGACAGCTGAATTCTGAGCTCACATAACACAGTGAGATTTCAATCTTCAGAGTTGCACTGTACTCAGGATATTTCAATTTGATAATGTTAACAGCTGCCTACCTATTCTCCTTCACTTGAATGCTTTTCCTTCACCCATATATTTTCAGTGCCTGCCAAAGCTGCCAGCATGGAACCAGTGGGAAAAACACATCCCAAGGTCTCCAGAAACAAAAGTCCAGCACAAACCAGTGTGAATTTACAAAACCAACAAGCTTAAAATTTTGACTCTGGGTAAAGAGACTAGGAACATCAGTTTTTTCAGCCAAGATATACAGAGCTTTCTTCCAGTCCCACTGTTTTCAAATCCCCTTATACAGCACAGACAGGATTGAAGATATGCCTTCATTACTGGACAGGAAGGTATTGAAATAGGGTAATTTAAATAAAGGAATGTTGATCTAATTGGCCATCATTGCAGACAGTTAGCTGTTGTTGGATAAAATCCTAAAGTTATATTTGTTCTACAATGTTCATCTGTAATTCCTATTAACATAAATATGTTACTAAATCTCCCACAGAAAGCAGCTGTAGTAAATGACTTCTGTAGGCTTGAAAGCCAACAGTAATAAAGTATTATTTCCATTTAAAAAAAAAAACAACAGGGGCTTATATGAGATGAGCATAAACATTTGGGTTCAGTGGAACATTCATGAGCACCCAAAATTATTTCCTATCTGAAATATGTGTCACTGCAAAACAGTTACATAGTTATTGCCTTCCTACCATGATTCTTGCACCTCCAAGTTACACAAATTTTCTCTGTACAGCCCTGGATCTGCACAAAAGTTTTGGGGCCACCTTTATGCCATTCCTCCTCGATGAATTAAGTTTACTATCAAGTTAGGAACAAAGGATTAGGAAAACTTACTCAATCCACTGAATTCTGTTCTCTACAAGCCCAGAAAAAAACTACAGTAGGTATTTCAACCATACAGGTTATTTGTTCTATTACACTATCACTTTAAGTAAGGGGATGATGAGGAGGATGACACAAAAAACATACGTAAAAATTAAAAAAAGAAAAGGAAACCAAAACAAAATTAAATGTAATAAACAAAAAAGGCAGAAAACCCATAACTATAGCATGCCATGGGAAGTTAGCAGAGAGGTAAAGCCTTGCCCATGTCCTAAGTCTTTACAATAGCTTGCAGCATATTAAATATTTATGGTCCAAAGAAAATGAGAAACTGACACAGATAAAATTATCTTTAAATCCAAACAGCTAATTCAGACTTGCTAAAATGTGACAAGTGCTACTAGGGATGAAGAGGGTGTCAGTGAAGATACACACAGGCTTATACACAAAAGTAAAACACTTCAAAATAACATCGCATCCCCCCCC